GGGGTTCAGGTGGGGTCACTGCACTCAGGGTTCAGTCGGGGTTCAGGTGAGGGCACTGCATTTGGGGTTCAGTCGGGGTTCAGGTGAGGGCACTGCATTCAGGGTTTAGTAGGGGTTCAGGTGAGGGCACTGCATTCGGGGTTTAGTCCGGGTTCAGGTGGGGTCCCTGCATTCAGGGTTCAGTCGGGGTTCAGGTGGGGTCACTGCATTCAGGTTTAGTAGGGGTTCGGGGTGCAGGGCGTGGTCTCGAGGCAGAGGTCAGGGCCCGGAGCACTGACCCCGGTTCTCCTGCCCGCCGCCCCCAGCCCCCCGCGGCTGCTGCCCCTCGGGACGGTGCTGTGCTGCGGTAGAGTGTGGCGGAGCAGCCGCCTGCAGCCTCGGCCCAGTGCATTGGGGGAAGAGCCACATAACCAAAACAGTGGTGTCCACAAACGGAAGGGCGGGCTCCTGGTGTCACCCCGTAATCCCGGCCACGCAGGAGATCTGACCTTCAGGGCTGGAAGCCAGCTAGGGCAGGAAAGGCCCTGAGCCTCTTATCACCAAGAAACCACCCCCCAAAAAGCCCCAAGTGGAGCTGTGGCTCAGGTGGTCGAGGGCCTGCCTGGAGCCCAAGAGCCAGGTAAAAATGGCTGACAGCAGGCTGAGCATTTTTGCGGGGGTCACACTTATGCTAGTGAAATTGTGGGGTTTTTGTTTGTTCGTGTTGGCCAGTCCTGGGTCTTGAACTCAGGGCCTGGGCGCTGTCCCTGAGCTTCTTTGGTTCAAGGCTAGCGCTCTACCACTTGAACCACGGCACCAATTCCGGCTTTTTCAGTGTACGTGGTGCTGAGGAATCGAACCCAGGGCTTCAATGCATGCTAGGCGAGCGCTCTACCACTGAGCCACCTGCCCAGCCCAGTGGATTTGTTTCACATTTGCTCTTTTCTTGCTCTCTGTGTAGCTGGATGATCCTTAGCGTTGTCGATGTGATTTTGCACTTTTCCAGAATCTAGAGGGATTTCTCAGAAACGCTGCTGTGATTTTGAACAGGGCATCGCCATCTATCGATTCCTTTCTTGGTTTTTGAGTGTGTGCATGCACACATGGAGGCTTGAACTCAGGGTTACCCACTCTGTTTTTTTTTTTTTTTTTTTTCACTCCAGGCTGGCACTCTACCACTTGCGCCACGCCTCCTCTTCTAGCTTTTTGGTGGTTCATTGGTGATGAGTTTTTTGGATTTATCTGTCTGAGCTGGATTTGAACTAGGATCCACTACTCAGCCTCCTGAGTAGTGAGGGTTACAGGCGTGCGCCACTGGGGTCTGGCTTAGCTCTTCAAAGTTTTATTGTAATTAAATTTTTTTGTGTGTGTGTACATCTGTGCTTAGATATGGATTATCAGTAACCGAATATCTCAGTATTATTATTTTGTCAGTCCTGGGATTTGAACTCAGGGCCTGGGCGCTGTCCCTGAGCTCTTTCATTCAAGGCTGGTGCTCAAACACTTTGAGCCATAGTCCACCTCCAGTTTTCTGGTGGTTCATTGGAGATCAGAGTCTCAGGGACTTTTCCTACCCAGGCTGGCTTCAAACTGTGATCCTCAGATCTCAGCTTCCTGAGGGGCTGGGATGACAGGCGGGAGCCACAGCACCCGGCCCAACGTTTTTGTTGTTAATTCTTCCCGTGGTGCTGGGGACTCAAAGAAGCACTTTATAAGACTCTGTACTTCTAGTTCCTGGTCTCCCCCAGCTGCATTCCTGACTGAAATAGTATTGTTGGGTTTTGTTGTTTTTAATTATGGTTTTTTGTCTCCATTTCATAGAAAGAAATTTGACCTCCAGTTCCATTTTAGAATGGCGTCCCTTTCAGGTTAGTGGATGTAATTCCTCTTCATAGTTTCATTCTGTTCCCTTTCAAGTTGTGTGCTTTTGATTTTTTTTTTTTTAAAGAGATTTGGGTTACAGATTCTGATTCTAGAAATGACAGGCCTTGGCAGCTTTTTCCACCATGGTGAAAGGTACACAACACTCAGCGTTTGACGAAGGTTAGGTGCTGGTGGCTCCCGCCTGTCACCCTGGCTTACTCAGGAGGCTGAGATCAGAGGACTGCAGTTCCAAGCCAGCCTGGGCAGGAAAATCCATGAAGACCCTTTATCTCCAATGAACCAGCGAAAAACTGGAAGTGGAGCCGTGGCTCAAGTGGTCAAGCTCCAGGCTTGAGCACACAAGTTCAGGGACAGCGCCTAGGCCCTTGAGTTCAAGCCCTAGGAGAGACACACACTGTAGTCAACTGCTTTCTCTGCTTGCAGCGCTCACGGAAGAACTGGAATCTGTCACCAGCGAGCTCCATGCAATTGAGCTGCAAATCCAAGAACTGAGTCAGAGGCAGGAAGAACTTCTTCAGAAAAAGTCCGTCCTAACCAAGAGAATAAAGCAGTGTTGCCAGAACTCTGGTGCCGGGACGAGTACTGAGGGGGACTCTTCCCCTGCCGCTTGGAATAAAGAAGGTTCCCTCTTTCTTTCCTTTTTTTGGGGGCTGGGGGGCAGTCCTGGACCTGAACTCAGGGCCCCGGTGCTGTCCCTGAGCTGCTTTTGCTCAAGGCTGGCTGGCGCTCTACCACTTGAGCCACAGCGCCACTTCTGGTTCTCTGGTGATTCATTGGAGATCAGAGTCTCATGGACATTCCTGCCCGGGCTGGCTTTGAACCACAGTCCTTTGATCTCAGCCTCCTGAGTAGCTAGGATGACAGGCGTGAGTCACTGGCACCTAGCTTCCTTTATTTTTAATTTTTGATGCCTGAACTCAGGGTTTCAAAGCTGGTGCTCTATCACTTGAGCCATGACTCTGCTTCTAGCTTTTTAGTGGTTCATTGGAGATCAGAGTCTCATACGCTTTTCTCCCTGGGCTGGCTTGGAATGGTGATCCTCGGATCTCAGCCTCCTGAGCAGCTGAGACGACAGGCAGGAGCCCCAGCGCTCAGCCTCCAGTGCCATTTCTACTCACTTGACTCTGCTTGTATAGCTGGGTGACAGCCGTTTCAACCTTCGGATGATCAACGGTTACAAACCTGACCCCGATTGGCCTCGCAGTCACCCCTGGATTATCACCCTCATCTTTCTCTCCCTTTCTAGATTTCCCTTGGTCGAGTAAAGTTAAAGAGGTTCTGAAAAATGTCTTTAAACTGCCGAAGTTCCGACCCCTTCAACTTGAAACAATTAACGTGACCATGGCCGGGAAGGAAATATTTCTTCTTATGCCAACGGGAGGCGGAAAGAGTTTGTGCTACCAGTTACCTGCGTTGTGTTCAGAGGGTGTGTGTCAAGAACTTCCCGCCGAAATCATTTCTCTAAACAGATAAATATACATTGCGCCTGTGCCGGGACTTGAACTCAGGACCCGGGCGCTGTCCCTGAGCTTTTGTGCTCAAGGCGAGGCGCTCTACCTCTTGAGCCACAGCACCACTTCTGGTTTTCTGGTGGTTCATTGGAGATAAGAGTCTCATGGACTTTCCTACCCAGGCTGGCCTTGACCCTCGATCCTCAGATCTCAGCCTCCTGAGTAGCCGGGATGACAGGCGGGAGCCACCGGTGCCTGGCTTTTAAATTCAATTTTGATTTTCTCTTTTAGGTTTTACACTGGTGATTTGCCCGTTGATCTCTCTGATGGAGGACCAGTTAATGGTTTTAAAACAATTGGGCGTGTCGGCCGCCATGTTAAACGCTTCTAGTTCCAAGGTATATGTGAGCGGATTATTGTTCTCTTAGTTTAAACTCTTCAATGAAATACAGCTACAGTTGAGGAGCCTTTAAAATCTTAAACTGTTCTATTTGTGCATCACGGACTGTCTCACGAGCTAAGCGTGGTTTTATGGGTTCTATGGGGTTGGTTGGTTTGTTTCTTTTGGTTCCAGGACTGGGGCTTGAACTCAGGGCCTGGGCGCTATCCCTGAGCGTGGTTGCTCTAAGTTAGCACTCTGCCCCTGGAGCCACAGCCCACTGTTTTATCTGTCCAGGGAAATAATGCTTGTAAGGTCAGCAGTGACGATCGCTGACTCAGTGAACTCAGTGGAGGAGAAGCTGGCAGGCAGGTTGGGCTCACATCACCTCAAGGTACTGACCTTGAAGCTTCTAGAACACTGAGGAGGGTCAGGAGCTTCATGAGCAGGTTCACGCTTACCAAAGACAGGGCTGGAAGACAATCAGGTGCTTAGATCTCACTCAGTGAACAAGTTCAGCAACATTCCAGCTCCGTGGGCAGGAAAAGCCAGAGGTAGAAGGCTCCAGAAAAACTGGCCTGGTTTCTTCAGCAAGTAATTGTTTGCACAGGGAGACAGAAAACGAGATCAAAGAAGCCGGGCGCTTGGTGGCTCCCGCCTGTCATCCCAGCTGCTCAGGAAGCCGAGGATTGAGGATCGAGGTTCAAAGCCAGCCCAGGCAGGAAAGTCCAAGAGACTCTGATCTCCAATGAGCCACCAGACAACCAGAAATGGAGCTGTGGCTCCAGTAGTAGAGCGCCAGCCATGAGCACAAAAGCGCTGGGACAGCGTTCAGGGTGTGAGTTCAAGCCCCAGGGCTAGTACCAAAAACAAACAAACAAACAAAAGAACCGAACATACAAGAAGGATCAAAGAGCCTATGGGTCCATCAAGCCCAAATATAATCCAAGGCCTAAGTATTATCTGCACTGTAACCTTTTGGGCAGTGCTGGAGTTTGAAGTCGACCTGGGGCTTAATCTGTTGTTTGGGAGGCTGGTACTTGACCACTTGAAACACGGCTCCAGTCCAGCATTTTGCTGGTTAAGTGCAGATAAAGGCACTTCTCTGCCCAGGCTGGCTTCTAACCACAGCTTCTAGATCTCAGCTAGAATTCCAGGCCTTCCTTTCCTTTTTCCTCTCTTTCTCTCCCTTCCCTCTCTTTTCCTCTACTAGGGGGTTGAACTCAGGGCCTACGTCTTGTCCTGTAGCTTTGTTGCTCAAGGCTGGCGCTCTACCACTTGAGCCACAGCTCCACTTCTGGCTCTTTTGGTGGTTCATTGGAGATAGGAGTCTCACGGTCTTTCCTGCCCGGGCTGGCTTTGAACCGCGATCCTCAGCTCTCAGCCTCCTGAGTAGCTGGCATAATGGGCGTGAGCCACTGGTACCTGGCTCTGCTCAGTTTGGAAGTTGGGTCTCACTTCGGGCCAGCCTGGACCACGGTTCCCATTTCTCCTCCCTGCCGTGGCTGGACTAGTCGGTGCGTGACACAGCTTCTCCTGTTGAGATGGGGTCTTGTCTTTAACCTGGGTTGATCTCGCATCTGTCTGCTTCAGGAGTGGCTGGGATTACAGATGGGAGCTACAGAGCCAGCAGAACAAGTGGGTGTAGCTCAGTATACACAGGCCGCGTGGAAGCGGGGTACTAGGGTGTAATTCCAGCCTCCACGAGCCTCGCATCTGTTTCTAGCCGGGCCTGGGGCTGCTGCCCTCCGCTTTGGGCTTGGGAGCCGCCCTCAGCCAGCCTGCGTCGGCTCCAGCCGTGCCTTCTGCCCCGTTTCCCAGGAGCACGTCAAGTGGGTGCACGCCGAGATGGTGAACAAGAACTCCGAGCTGAAGCTGATTTACGTGACGCCCGAGAAGATCGCCAAGAGCAAGATGTTCATGTCCCGCCTGGAGAAGGCCTACGAAGCCAAGAGGTTCGCGCGGATCGCCGTGGACGAGGTTCACTGCTGCAGCCAGTGGGGACACGACTTCAGACCCGGTGCGTACACGCGGTGCGTACCCCGAGGACGCCCAGCCTCCCGGAACGCTGGCTGCAGATCGGGGAGGATCGTGGTTGAAGCCATCCTAGGCAGAAAGACCCACGAGACTTCCCATCTCCCAGCCAGCCGGCGAGATGCTCGACTGGAGGCATGGCTCAAGCGGTAGAGCACCAGTGGAGAGCCAGAAAGCTGAGTGAGTTCCAGGCCCTGAGTTCGAATCCTACCACTGGGAATCACCGTGTGTTTGCCTTCCTGATGGGTCTCCACACCAATCTTTCGTCTTGTTTCTGGTGGAACCAGGGATCGAACTCAGGGCCTGGAGCTCATCATGAAATGCTCTACTATTTGACTCATGCCCCGTGCTGTTGAGCTTTTAGGATGTTTGCCAGATAGAGGCTGGTGCTTTTGTCCATGTTGGTCTTGGATCGTAATCCTCCTAACTTCCACTTGCCAGGAAACTGGGATTATAGGTGTGCACTACCATGCCTGGCTCCCAAGAACAGGTGTGCGGGCGGGTGTCTCTTCGCTTTGTGTTTCCCGGGCTGGCTTCTGCGATCCTTCAGTCTCAGCCTCCTGTTGCGAAGCCTGTGTGTTCTAGAAGAGTAACGAGGGATTTGCAAGTTGATCCTTGTAGCTACGGCTGGCCGAGTCCTGGACGAGCTGCAGCCTTCCGGGTCGGCCGACCGAGCCTGCATTGTTTGCCTCTTGCAGATTACAAGGCCCTGGGGATCTTGAAGCGCCAGTTCCCCAACACGTCGCTGATGGGGCTCACCGCCACCGCCACGCAGCACGTCTTGAAGGATGTGCAGAAAATTCTCTGCGTCCAAAACTGTATGACGTTCACCGCTTCGTTCAACCGGCCGAATCTGTATTACGAGGTGCGGGACTTCTGCGGCCGCGTACTCTTTTACGATGGTGATTTTTGAGGGTTGGTGTTCACCCGCCTGAATCACAGCTCCACTCCAAGCTTTTTGGGTGGCTCATTGGAGATAAAGAGTCTCCTGGACTTCCCTGTCCAGGCTGGCTTTGAACCTGTGATCCTCACCTCTCAGCTTCCTGAGTGGCTGAGATTACAGGCGTGAGCTACTAGTGTCTGGCTAAGCCCCTCAGACTGTGATGGTTTGTTTTTCTAGGTTCGTCAGAAACCCTCGAATGCAGAGGATTTCATTGAGGACATTGTAAAGCTCATTAATGGCAGATACAAAGGACAATCAGGTAACGTTAAAAAAGAAACCAGCCTTGGGGACTGAGAGAGAACTTTCCAGAAAGAATAACACTGGTGGTTACACTGATTTAAGTAAGCCCTGGAAGTTTAAGTTAGGGTAGGTGACCGTGTTTCATTGTGGCATCAGTTGATTTGGGGATCTTACAAACCCAAAGTGACGTTTTTCTCAAGTCAGAACCAGGCGTTTAGGAATTGTCTCATGGCTTTTGCTTTGTTTTAAATGTCTTCCTCTCTCCTCTCTCCTCCCTTCCCTCCCTTCCTTTTTTTTTTTGCTTCTTTCCTTTAGTTTTTGTTTGTCCTGGGGTTTGAACTCAGGTCTCTGACCTTTTACTAATTCATTGAAGACCAGGGTCTCTTGGATTTGTCTGCCCAGGCTGGCTTTGAACCACGATCCTCAGATCTCAGCCTCCTGAGTAGCTAGGATGACGGGTGTGAGCCACTGGTGCCTGGCCCATGAGACTCTGATTTTCAATAAACCACCAAAAAAAAAAAGCCGCAAGTGGAGCTGTGGCTCAAGTAGTAGAGCACCAGCCTGGAGCAAAAAAGCTCAGGGACAGTGCCCAAGCTCTGGGTTCAAGCCCCCCCAGAGCTGCCACAAAAAGTGAAAATGAGAAAAAAATGATCACCCAAGCCGGGCGCCAATGGCTCCCGCCTGTCATCCCAGCTACTCCGGAGGCTGAGATCTGAGGATCATGGTTCAAGGCCAGCCCAGGCAGGAAAGTCCGTGAGACTCTGATCGCCAATAAACCACCAGAAAACCAGAAGTGGCGCTGTGGCTCAAGTGGTAGAGCTCCAGCCTTGAGCTGAAGAGCTGAGGGACAGCGCCCAGGCCCCGAGTTCAAGCCCCACGACCCACCAAAAATAAAAAGTATTACCCAAGTCAAGATATGCATAGGGTCTTAGAATTTTCCAGAATGTTTTTTCCACCCCTCCCCTCCTGGACCTGGTCTTAGCAAACGTGTCGCGTGGCAGGTTGAGTCCCCTCCCGGGACTGTGGCATGCAGCAGCTCACGTGGGGTCCTGTGTCCCGTAGGAATCGTGTACTGTTTCTCGCAGAAGGACTCGGAGCAGGTCACCGGCAGCCTGCAGAGGCTGGGCGTGCGCGCGGGCGCCTACCACGCCAACATGGAGGGAGAGGACAAGACCAAGGTCCACACGAGATGGGCGGCCAATGACCTGCAGGTGAGCCGCCTCCCCGCCTCCCCTGGCCCGGGGACAGGCTCTGAGCCCGCCCCGCGGCGGCTGACGCACGCAAACGTCCTCAGGTCGTGGTGGCCACGGTGGCGTTCGGGATGGGCATCGACAAGCCCGACGTGAGGTTCGTGATCCACCACTCGATGAGCAAATCCATGGAGAATTACTACCAAGAGAGCGGGCGGGCAGGTACGCACGGAGACCCCCATCGGCTGGGCTGCGTGGTGGTGGGTCCTGAACTCAGGGCCTTGACGCTGCTCCTGAGCTTTTGGACTCAAGGCTGGTGCTCTACCATTTGAGCCAGAGCTCCACTGCTGGCTTTTTGCTGGGTCCTTGGGGATAAGCCTCACGGACTTTTCCTGCCCAGGCTGGTTTTTGAACCGTGATCCTCTCGATCTCAGCCTCCTGAGTAGCTGGGATGACAGGCGGGAGCCAGTGATACCCCAGGTTTGGGTGTTGGTTTTAACACCATCTCTTGGAAGTTTCCAGATGTAATGGGAATCTCTGTGGGCATCCGAATTGTATTTCCCTGTTAGGGTTTATTGACGTAATTAGGCAATCTCAAGCTCTTCCCGCTCGCCCCAGGCCGAGATGATCAGAGAGCGGACTGCATCCTGTACTATGGGTTTGGGGACATCTTCAGAATCAGCTCCATGGTGGTCATGGAGAACGTCGGGCAGCAGAAGCTGTACGAGATGGTGTCTTACTGCCACAACATAAGCACGTAAGCCGCTTGCCTTCCTCTGCTCTGCCTCGGTTTTTTCTGTGCTAGTACTGAGATTCGAACTCAGGACCTGGCACTTTGACTGGGCTATTGTTTGGCCCCAGGCTGGTGCACGACCACGTTGAGCCACGGCTTCACTTCTAGCTAGCTTTTTGGTGGTTCCTTGGAGATAAGAACCTCATGGGTGTTTCTGCCCGGGCTGGCCTCGAACCCGGATCCTCAAGCTCCCAGCCTCCGGAGGAGCGCCGGCCTCCGTTCTTCAGGCTGGATCCAGGGACTCACGCGGGCGTTGGTGTCTGGCAGGTGCCGCCGCGTGTGCATCGCTCAGCACTTCGATGAGGTGTGGAACTCGGATGCGTGTGACAGGATGTGTGACAACTGCTGTACAGACGCGGGTACGTGCGCCACCTTGGGGCCCTCCCTAGCACAGCTGCCCGGCCGGGACTGCAGGGGGCAGGCGGGAGGCCAAGCGGAGCCCACCAGTGAACACGGGGTCTCTACTTGCCTTTCCCAGACTCAGAAACAGTGCAGACTTTTAGATGACACACGTATGATTCAGGGCGGCCTGGCCCATGCACACTGTGTAGCTAATAAGGAAAAGCCAGCAGTTCTCTGATTGGAAATACCGTGATGTACTAGTAAGACCAGGCGCTGGTGGCTCCCGCCTGTCATCCCAGCGACTCAGGAGGCTGAGATCGGAGGATCGTGGTTCAAAGCCAGCCTGGGCAGGAAAGTCCTTGGGACCCTGAGTTCTAATAAACCACTCAGAAAACTGGAAGTGGCGCTGTGGCTCAAGTGGTAGAGCGCCAGCCTTGAGGGTAAAAGCTAAGGGAGAGTGTGAGGCCCCGAGTTCAAGCCCCGGTACTGGCATGTACACACACATACACACACACACACACACACACACGTTTAGGATGCCTCACACTGGTGGTGGATTTTATTCTATTTTTTTGTCGGTTGTGAGACTTGAACTCAGGGCCTGGGCGCTGTCCCTCAGCTCTTCAGCTCAAGGCTGGCGCTCTACCACTTGAGCCACAGCACCACTTCTGGTTTTCTGAGTGGTTCATTGGAGATAAGAGTCTCATGGACTTTCCCACCAGGATCCTCCGGTCTCAGCCTCCTGGGCAGCTGGGATGGCAGGCGGGAGCCGCGGGCACCGGGCTGAGGGTGGGTCTTACACCAGTGTGCTCACACCCGGCCTGTCCCCTGCAGCAGTGGAGGAGAAGAACGTCGTGGAGCACTGCAGGGAGCTGGTGCAGATCTTGCGGCAGGCGGAGGGGCTGGGCGAGAAGCTCACGCCCCTGAAGCTCTTGGACTCCTGGCTGGGCAAAGGCCCCGCGAAGCTGAGGGTGGCCGGCGTGCTGGCCCCCGCGCTGCCTCGGGAGGAGCTGGAGAAAATCATCGCGCACCTGCTCCTGCAGCAGTACCTCAGGTAAGTACTGTGCACAGCACTTCCCGCTTGCGGATGCCCCTACGACTGCTCCCTGCCGGGCGCCGCGGCTCCCGCCTGCCATCCCAGCTCCTCAGGAGGCGGAGGGCTGAGGATCGCAGTTCACAGCCAGCCTCAAGAAAGTCCCGGAGACTCTGATTGCTAAGGAACCAGCAAAAGGCTGGACGTGGAGCTGTGGCTCATGTGGTAGAGCGCCAGCCTTGAGCAAAAAGAAAAATAAGCTCAGAGACAGCGCCCAGTCCTTGAGTTCAAACCCTAGGACTGGCGCACGCACACGCACGCACCACACACCTGTTTTGTAATGAATTGCAGCAAAATCTGCTCTCGTAGCTATTTCCTGTTTTCAAAAACAATAGGAAACGATTTACGAAACTCCACCTTTAATTAACTGCCACACATCCCCAAAAGTACACAACCCTCCTCTGGATTGTTTCACTAAAATACCCCAAAAAATCAATGTGTAAAATCTTTTCATAGTAAATCCTATCAATAAAACCTTAGCCCAAACCCCTGCAGGTTTATTGCTTAATTTAGAACTTTGATGCTTTTGCCATGTGTTGTAATAATAGACTCATTTGCAGAGGGCTGGGCAGGTGGCTCCGTGGTACAGCTCTTGCCTTGCATGCCTGAGGCCCTGGGTTCGATTCCTCACCACCACATAAGAAAAAAGCTGGAAGTGGCGCTGTGGCTCAAGTGGTAGAGTGCTCGCCTTGAGCTGAAGAGCTGAGGGACAGCACCCAGGCCCTGAGTTCAGGCCCCACGACCGGACCCAAAAAAAAAAAAAAATAGACTCATTAACAAACTTAGTTGGAACTGAAAACTGACCCACATGGACAAGGATGAGATAAATGCTTTAAAGTAAAAAATATATGTGTGTATATAAACATATTATTTATATATACATATATAAATTATATATACATATATATATATATATATATATATATATATATATATAATGTTTGAGCTGGACACGGTGGCTTTTACCCAGTCTCAGCTGGTCAGGAGGCAGAGGTTGGAAGGACCACAGTTTGGGGCCAAGTCCTATCTCAACCAACAAGGCAGGAAGGGGTGTTTCCCAGCTCTAACCCCAGCTACCCTGGAGGTACAGGTAGGAGCAGCATTATCGTTTGAGGCTGACTCTGAGTGAGTAAAAATGCACAGCACCCTATCTGAAAATGAAAGTAGAGAGAGGGCTGGGGGCGGGGTTCAAATGGTAGCGCACCTGTCTAGCAAGTGTGCAATCTGGGTTCAAACCCCAGGACTGCCAAAAATAAGCATCATCAAAAAGGTTGTGGGTGTCGTTCAAGTGATTCGCTACTTGCTTAGCATGCAAGAGACCGGGGTTCAAGTCTCAGGAGTCAAAGAAATGTTTGTATTAAAAATGTATTGGGGCTGGGCAGGTGGCTCAGTGGTAGAGCGCTTGCCTTGCATGCATGAGGCCCTGGGTTCGATTCCTCAGCACCACATAAGCAAAAAGAAAAAAGCCGGAAGTGGCGCTGTGGCTCAAGTGGTAGAGCGCTAGCCTTGAGCTGAAGAGCTGAGGGACAGCGCCCAGGCCCAGAGTTCAGGCCCCAGGACTGGACCCCCAAGAAAATGTGTGTGTGTGTTGTGGTACTGCTACTGAGTCTTGAACTCAGGGCTTCTGCTTTGTTTGACTTTTGTGCTCAAGGCTGGTGCTCCACCACTTGAGCCACAGTGCCACTTTGGGCTTTTTGGTGGTTCACTGGAGATCAGAGTTTCACAGACTTTCCTGCCCGGGCTGGCCTTGAACCCCGATCCTCAGATCTCAGCCTCCTGAGTAGCTGGGATGACAGGCGTGAGCACCGGCGCCCGGCTAGCCCTAGGCGTGGATTCTCTTCTGTGAACGGGTTGGTTGCGTTCCGTTTCTGTGACCCGTGGTTTTGTTTTCTGCCTGTGAAGGGAGGATTACAGCTTCACGGCGTACGCCACCATCTCGTATTTGAAGGTGGGACCGAAAGCGAATCTTCTGAGCAGCAAGACGCACGTCATCGCCATGCAAGTGAAGAAGGCCGCCACCGCCGCCGCCGCCAGCCTCAGGGTAACGGAGAGCCTTGGCTCCATTTGCACGCGCGTGTGTCCACACAGCACAGGTGTCTGTGCCCCCACCCGAGTCCCAGAACCCGAGACACAGGCCAGGGGATTTTCTTCCTATGTGGATGCTCAGTTTGAAAGTACGAATTTCGACTAGACTAAGGGAGGCCAAGCGTGGCCCGCCTGGTAGGATGCGAGCATTCCTTTTCTTTCAAAGGTATTTATGTTGCAGCTGTGGGGCTTGAACTCAGGGCCCTTGTGCTCAGGGCTGGCGCTCCAGCACTTCTGAGCCACCCCTGGTTTTCTGGTGGTTCTATGGAGAGCAGAGTCTCACGGATTTTCCTGGCTGGGCTGGCCTTGAACCTCGATCCTCAGATCTCAGCCTCCTGAGGAGCTGGGATGACAGGCGGGAGCCACGGTGCCCAGCAGAGATCCCATTGCAAACCCCACTCTCAGATGCTCCTAGGAGAAGAAGACAAAAGGCGCCATGCCTTTGCACCTCGAAATCATACAAAAAATCATTTATCAAGATAGACACCAGGAAATGGAAAGGAGGTTTTTTATTTATTGCTGTTTTTTGTTTTCCTTTAGTCTTATATGTGGGTTTCTCTGTCTCTGGGAGGGTGAGGGGGGCACAGAAATGGGGGGACAGAGGGGAAACCGAGGCAGCCGTGGGCCTCATGGGACACCAGGTGGAGAATGAACTCTACCACGTGTGGGTGGGTCCGGGAGCTTTGGTCTGTGTGTGTGCTGGGCACCACCAGTGGGTTTTGGGGTTCCTGGCAGTCTCGTTCTGGCACAGAACTCCGCACCCCATTCCCAGCACACCTCAAGAGCGCGCGGACACAGGAAGGGTGTTCTGCGCTTATGAGGAGCCGGGCTTGGAGGCGGTCCCTGCTGAGCTTGGGATTTTCTTGTAGGTGGAGTCATCCAACACGTCTCGGTCGGATCGAGCTGGTGAAGTGGGGGAAAGGAACGCTTCGGGAAAGTTCCAGAAGCCGGCACGCACGCCGCAGCACTCTGGGGCCAAGAAGAGGAAAGTGGAGGTTGATGGCTGAGCCGCGGGCTGGCCGCGCGTCCCGCCCGGCAGGAGCAAGCGCGCAGGGCGGCGGCGGCCCCGCGTCTGCACACGGCCCGCCCTCAAGGCCTCGCTGCAGACTCGAGGACTCGGAGCCCCTGGGATGCCGAACACGGCGAAGGACGTCGTTTTCCAGAATGCAACAAGGGAAAAGAAATCCCGGCTCGATCACATAGTTGAGAACGGCTTCCTAGAACCGTGGGGGGCTCTGCAGACCCCCCCCCCACCTGACCGCGTTTACTTCCGCTGAACTTGCGGTCACCTTCCTTCCGTGCGTGATCGCTGCTCCTGCTCTCGAACCCACAGCCTCCCGATCTCCTCCCCTGTTTTCGCTTGGCCCACGGCTGGTGAGCCGTGCCCCCGTTCTAGCTTTTCGGTGGTCTTCAGAGGTGAGAGCCTCAAGGATTCGAATGTTCCTCCCTGTGGTGTCAAACTATCAGCCTCCTGAGTTGCAGGAATTACAGGCTTGAGCACTGGTACCTGGCTGTGTCTTTTTTTTGGTGCCTGTGGTGGGATTTGAACTCAGAGCCTAGTGTGCTGTCGCCTGAGTTTTTCTGCTCAAGGGCCAGTGCTGGACCACTGGAGCCACAGTGCCAACTTGGACTTCTTGCTGGTTTACTGAAGAGTCCTACTGACTTTTCTGGGCAGGCTGGCTTTGAACTGCGATCCTTAGATCTCAGCTTCCTGGGTAGCTGGGATTACAGGCGTGAGCTACGCAGCTAACTTTGAACAGCAACATGACTCTGATGTAGGTTCATCATGCCCAGTGAGTGACATCTATTTAGCTGAATAATGTAGATGCCAGGCGATAAAAAAACAGCTGTAATTCAAATACAAAGAAGGCGTTATTACCAATCTTAACCAGCAAGGCGCTCCCACCATTTTATTTAAATAAAACTCAGAGCTTTCACAATCCCGGCTTGGTTTTGCGGTTTTCTGGGGAGTGGAGGCGCGCTGGGCGCTTGGTGGCGAAGCTGAATCCACCTGAGCGAATGGGGTGGGTTTAAAACACAAACCCCGGGCGACGGGGGATTTCTTCACGTAGGTGGTCCGTGTTTCCCGATCAGAACGCGGCGTCTTTCAATAAATTATGTACGCAGTTGTCTTTCTCTTCGTGTTTTCCAGCAAAACCATGGTCGCTTCTGCATTTAGGACTCCAAAGTGACTCATTTCCCGTGGTTCTTCGAGAAACTCCCTTGCTATGCTAGTCAAAATAATCTTCTATGTCAACGCTGGGGTCCAGGAGGTCTTCTCCGTAGGGGGACAGGTCCATTTGGTTTAAGATGAGGTTTTCGAATGTCTCCTCCAGGTCCGTCTCCCCGATGAGCACGGCGCCCACCATGCGCCCGTCCTGCAGCACCGCCTTGACGTACTCCAGCCCCTGCGTGCACCGCAGCATCAACTCGTGCTCTGCGCCCAGGCCCTGCGCGTTGTACTTTCCCAACAATACGACCTGGGGAGTGGGGGGGGAGGAAGAAGGAGAGGATTGTGACATCACAGTCCTGTGTGGTCACGTGACCAGCCAGCAGAACTCAACATGGCGGCGAGAGGAGGAAGATCGTCTGGAGAACGAGTGTCCGTTCTGCAGAGTCAAGGTTTAACGAGGGACTTAGATCTTTCATGGGCCAATTATTTCATTTCCCCGAGATGTGCAATTCTGCCTCGTAGGGAGGAACAAAGTCTCCACTGGAACTCCTAACCAGGGAACAAGTCCCGAGATGCTTCTCCCCTCTGATAGAGTGCCAGGGTGACGATGACACATAGAGATTTCAACCAGCACTGCGAGGTACTGAGCTGCAAGCACTGAGAACATTAACCCTTCTCTGTATCAGTGCTGGGGCTTGAACTCAGGGCCTGGGTGCTGCCCAGGGGGCCAGCCTTTTACTGGTCCATGAGACATGAGTGCCTCTGGTTGGTCTGCCCGGACTGGGTTCGAATTGTGATCCTCAGCTCTCAGCCTCCTGCGTAGCCAGGATGACAGGCGGGAGCCAGCGGCGGCTGGCTGGGCATTCGCTTTGAATGAACTGATGAGGGACGTGCTATTGGGGGGCAGGGGTTATGGGATGCATCACGGTGGACGGGTGAGCAGAAAAGCCGCTGATTTGTTCACTACCTTACCTTATAGTTGAAGAATTTTGTTACGTGTGCAAAGAGCTCAAAGCTGAAATCCATGTCGATTGGGTCTCCCAGAAGGTCCGCAGCCATGCACTTGGCCGCGTACCAGCCCATCTGCCTGGCCTGGGTCCACAGCCTCATCTGAGCAAACACAGGATCGGTATCATCATCACCATCATCATCGTTATTATTATTGACCTCAGGGCCTGGGCGCTGTCCCTGAGCTGCTTTTGCTTAAGGCCAGGGCTCTACCGCTTGAACCAGAGCTCCACTTCGGGTTTTTCACTGGAGAGGAGGGTCTCTGGGACATTTCCTGCCCGGGCTGGTTTCCAACCCTGATCCTCCAGATCTCAGCCTCCTGAGTAGCGGGGATGACAGGTGGTAGTATGTAGAGAAATTTCCGTAATAGAAACCAGTTACTTCTATAGGACTTGCCCGCAAATGTCGGACAGCAGCCCCGTGGTAGCTTTCTGCTTGAAGCAGAAAAGCCGAGAAACTGGGAAGGGGGTCCTGCGGATGGGAACGCCTGTGACTCCTGTGCCCTGGGCCTGCGTGGCTCACCTGCTGCCACACGGGGCTGGGCTTCCAGGACGCTGAGCAGAGGTCGCCGGCCGCGTAGACGTCAGGGAGGGACGTGCGCATGTGCTCATCCACTCGCAGGCCGCCGTCTTCTCCTACGTCAAACTGGACAGGGTTCCTCCTGAGTTTGCCAGTCGGGTGGGTGGCGCCCGCCTGCCATCCCAGCCACTCAGGAGGCTGAGATCTGAGGATCGTGGTTCAAAGCCAGCCCGGGCAGGAAAGTCCGTGAGACTCTTATCACCAGTGAACCAGCAAAAAGCCGGAAGGGGCGCTGTGGCTCAAGTGGTAGAGCGCCAGCCTTGAGCAAAAGCAGCTCAGGGACAGCGCCCAGGCCCTGAGTTCAAGCCCCAGGACTGACAAAAAAAAAAAAGTTATACTAATCTTTAATGACAATGACAAATAGCACCAACATTATAAACCCAAGTTCGGTGAATTTCCAGGAATCAACTCCTATTAGAACACACTCACAACATTGAAAAACACTCAACAATGATCAGCCAAGCACTGGTGGTTCGTGGCTCAGCTATGAATGAGCTGCTCAGGAGGCTGAGAGAGAGACGATCAAGGTTCAGAGCCAGGCTGAACAGACAGCTTGAGACGCCATCTCCAAAATAATAAGCAAAACACGGGTGTGGAGGTGTGGTTCAGGGGACAGCATGAAGGCCTGAGCTCAATCTCCAGTAGGGGCAGAAACGCTGAAAACATAACTATGTGATCTCATGAGTAATTACAAGGACATTCATTCATTCATTCATTCATATCAGTCTGGGGCTTGAACTCAGGGCCTGGGCGCTGTCCCTGAGCTCTATTACCCAAGGCTGGCGCTCTACCACTTGAGCCACAGCACCACTTCTGGCTTTTTCTGTGTCTGTGGTGCTGAGGAATGGAACCCAGGGCTTCATGCATGCTAGGCGAGCGCTCTACCCCTGAGCCACCTGCCCAGCCTGTTTGAGGAGGGCCGGCCCACGGCTCACCTCGTTCCCGTGGAGGAAGGGCTGCGTGTTTGGCACGACGCCGGTCGCACTGATGATGAAGTCACAGCCGTAGAGCTTCTCATTGGTCAGCTCCACATACACCGGCCACAGGTCTTTGGGGGGAAATGAGAAATGTTCTCAGAGGACGTCCTGAATATCCACAGTGTTTCGTGGACACTGAGGAAGAAGAGCTCAGAACAGAGAGAGAGGAGAGGCAGGCAGATGGCGTCAGAATTCCTCTTAATCATGTACAAGAGCTGAGAGCTGCCGGCTCCCGCCTGCCATCCCAGCTGCTCAGGAGGCTGAGATCTGAGGATCGCAGTTCAAAGCCAGCCCAGGGCAGGAAAGTCTGTGAGACTCTCATCTCCAATGACCTACCATAAAACTGAAGTGGTGCTGTGGTTCAAGTGGTAGCACACCAGCCTTGAGCAAAAGAGCTCAGGGACAGCACCCAGGCCCTGAGTTCAAGCCCTAGGATCGATCAATCAATAATGTGGAAGATGCTTTGGGCAGGAGAAGGTTAATGTAATGGGCATTAATTCATTTTGGGTAGAATGCCGCCATTCCAAACATTCACCTGATTTGGACACCCAAATTTTAACACAGCAAAATGGAACTGCTAATCATGTGCCACATTCTGTGTGTGTGCGCACATGCGTGTGTGTGTGTGTGTGTGTGTGTGTGTGCTGGCTACTGGGGCTTGAAGTCGGGGCTGGGTACTTGTCCTTTAGCTTTTCCACTCGACGCTGCTGCCGTTTTACCCCCCGAGCCTCAGCTCTAACTGCAGGGTTGTTGTTGTTGTTGTTCAGTGGAGATAAAAGTCTCACCGATGTTTCTGTCCAGGCTGACTCTGAACCCGGAATCCCCAGCTCACGGCCTGTAGGGAAGCAGGGACTACAGGCGTGATGGCGGGTCTCATCCACGAGCAGCGGGGATTACAGGCGTGATGGCTGGTCTCCTTTCCCTCTGTCATTCTCACCTTGATCTGCCGTGGGGGACGTCGGCCCATGGAGATCTCTGGGGAAACTCAGGGACTTTCTCCCCAGACCTCGAAACTCCTCCTGCAGGTAGATTGCCTTCACTTCGCACAGCGGCTCAATGTGAACGTGCCGGGAACACTAGCAGGCCAAGAGAAAGCAAACAGGAAGCTTCCAGAAAGAACACCCCGAGAGAGCACCCGTGTCCACCCAGAGAAAGAGAAGAGTGGGGCGCTCCCAACCGACCCCCAGTGGGCCTTCAGCTCCAGGGAATGAAGGGCGTGGGCAGATACCCCCCTCCCTGCGCGAACACCAGCGCACACCAGAGCCACGGCCATCTTTCCCAAAACACGCCACGGTGGGGACCCACGGGGAACCCCCAGCTGCCTACCCCACGCGCCCCCCCCCACCAGGCCTGCGGAAAGCCACGCTCCTCACTACCTCCACGCTTTCCCCCTCTCCTGCCTGCCACCCCAGCGACTCGGGAGGCTGAGACCGGAGGATCACGGTTCAAGGCCAGCCCTTGCAGGAAAGCCCGTGAGACTCTGATCTCCCATGAACCACCAGAAAACCAGAAGTGGCGCTGTGGCTCAAGTGATAAGAGTACTAGCCTTGAGCCAAACAGCTCAGGGACGGCTCCCGGGCCCTGAGTTCCGGCCCCAGGACTGGCACAAAAATACAAATGAATAAGAAAAGAAAGAAGAAGAAAAAAAAAAAGAAAAATCACAGTAAAAAAGCAACACGTAGTAGTATTATAATCCTTCGCTGTGGTAGGTGTCTTTTAGTAACTGTTAAGGAAATTAAAATATCTACACAAATGAGTTACGTGTTTGTCAAGTATGCCATGTTACAGGTCACGATGTCCTGAGTACCTTACCCACGTGTGTTCCCGGCGGGTCTGAGCGTAGCGTGTCCGGCTATTCCGTGTGTCACGATGATGTGACGTGTGAGCCGTACCGAGTACGTTACAGTATTTGCACGTCACAGCGCAGGGCACATTGGCAGCAATGTGCGATCATGTTATTACACGTGTCATGTTACTGCGCATGTCATAATGCTGCTGTGTGTGCTGTAACGGTGTGGCGTGTGTCACGCTGGCCCGTGCTATCTGCAGCGTGTGCTGTGGTGTGGCGTGTGTCACGCTGGCCCGTGCTATCTGCAGCGTGTGCTGTGGCCTTGACGAAGGTGAGCAGGAGCGAGCCGTGGCCTCGCCGTGGGCTGGCGTGGACGCTCAGTCCTGAGGAGTTGGGGAAACTGAGACACGCTGCCCCTTGGCTGTCCGTGGTGAGCCCCGTGGGTCACCTGGAGGACGGGTTTTGTCGCATGGCTTTGATGTTGTTTGTTTGCGTGTCTTACGTAAAGCGCTGTAGCTCTGTAAAGAATACGCGCTGAGGCCTGGGCTGGGGCCCTTCTCTGCGCGCGTGATGAGTGGTTTGGGAAATGGTGTTCTCGACAAACACTCACCTCCCTCGTTCCTTTGAGAGACAGACCTTCGTGCCAATCCGGTCCTAGGGCGCTGCCCAGCTCACCGGCGCTCGCTCTGCTGCGGGCTGCCTTCTGCCTGCCTGAAAACATGAGCTTCAGTGACATAAATACGTGACCAGAGCATTCCTTGGTGTGTGTGTGTGTGTGTGTGTGTGCGCGCGCGTGCACACACACAGATTCACGTGCTCAATCTCAGGGCCTTGCGTTCTTGGCTCGCCTTTCTTGCTCAAGGCTGACAACCTACCACTTTAGCCACACCACCTCCTCCTAACTGTCCATGCTTTGTGCCCAAAGTTACAACTCATTTGGAATTTTTTTTTTTTTTGTCGGTCATGGGGCCTGAACTCTGGGCCTGGGCGCTGTCCCTCAGCTCTTCAGCTCAAGGCCAGTGCTCTACCACTTGAGCCACAGCACCACTTCCAGCTTTTTCTGCTTATGGGGTGCTGAGGAATCGAACCCAGGGCCTCATGCGTGCAAGGCAAGCGCTCTACCACTAAGCCACCTGCCCAGCCCCTCATTTGGAATTTTCTAAGGCAAAAAGCTATTCATTGTTTTAAAAATAGGTGAGGCTTGTGCTCAACAGGCTTTCTGGAGCAACTAAAGCATCGGTGTGCAACAATCTTTGAGGCTGGTTTACTGCATTTATTGCATTTTCCCATGTTAACTGTGAGCGTGGACAAGAACGGGAAAAGCTCAGCATCCTCCTCATCTCCTGACATGTCTTTTCCGTGTACGGCTGAGAGGCAGGAGTCTCGTGTGGCCATGCGTGAGCACGCCCGCCTTACCTTCCGTTGTGTATCTAGTCCTTTTCTGCGCCAGTTGTGCCTCATCCTTTCCAGAATGGAGCTTGGAAATCAAGAATTCTGCGGCCCCGGCATCGAAGAACGTATTGCCGATGGCTTTGTCCTTAATGGCCCAGATGACCTCACAGCCTTCCACTTCGTACCTGAAAGGAATGGGCCAGTTCCCATGAGTCCTTTCCAAAGACCAGGGAGAAATCTCTGGATCTTCCAATAACCACAACTCCCGTTCCACTTGAGCCAAAGTGAGGAGCATCTCCTAAGGCAAATTAGGAATGACAGATACAGGGAGGAGGGACTAATCTCCCTTCCCAATCTCCCTCTCTCCCTCACCCCTTTCTCTCCTCCTCTCTCTCCATGATACCAAAACGTAAGCACAGGGCCGGATATTTGTTCACTCACTTGGCGCTTTACCATGTGACTCACACCTCTACACTTGCATTTTGCTGATACCATTTTGGAGATGGATTCTCCTAGACTTTCTTTTCCTTCTCTCTTTTTCTATCTCCCTCTTTCCCTCCCTCCCTCTCTTTGTCCTTCCTTCCTTCCCCTCCCCTGTCTTGCTTTCCTTGTGGGTTTCTTTCATGCCGGTACCAGGCCTTGAACTCTGGGCCTGGGGGCTCTAGCTTAGCTTTTGCCCACAACGCCCAAGTTCTACTACTTGAGCCACACTTCTACTTTCAGCTTTTTGGTGGTGTGTGGGCGATAAAGAGTTTCCTGAGCTTTCTGCCTGGGCTGGCTCTGAGCCCCGATCCTCAGATCTCAGCCTCCTGCGTGGCTAGGATGACAGGCGGGAGCCACGGGTACCTGGCTGGTGACGTTGTCATTGATTTACACATAGTGAGGTCACACTAGGTACCAGGACAGTAACGGTTATGTTTACAAGCTAAAATCTTCACTAATTCAAGTTTCCTTTTTTTTTTTTTTCCTTTCAGAAGTTCCCAAGCCATCAAGCCAAAGAAAGATTGAGTTTACAGGGAGATCAAGATTCTTAAAGGAAAAAAAAAACGAATCCTATTACCAGAAGGTGCTCTGCGATCCTGCTCAGAGCTCACCACAGGCCCTGGCCGGGCACCTGGCCTGTCAGGTTTGCACGCAGCACCCCGCTCCCTCCCTTCCAGCAAGGTGACCGCACCTTTCATCACGTGACTCTGCAAGCCGCCTGCGTCTGCCTTTTGGGTAGAATGATGGTATCGTTGGGGAAAATCTTACCCAAGAGAATAGAGGGCCAGCTTAACTAAAATAGGAATTTTCAAAGCTTGCAGCAGCAATAAGAGCACTGCAGGTGAATGAATTAGCGTTTCAATGGTACAATTAAAGGGCTGCTTTACTATTAATGGCACAATGCTATTAACAGTATTTTTAGTGGTGTCCAGCATTGCCGACTTTATTTCATAGGCTGGATGCAGTGGGTTATACGCCTTTCCCAAGCGAATCCATAAACAGACAAGAACGGGGAAGAGGCTTCGGACAGATGCCAGTGGTGTCTGCCTGTAATCTTGGCTACTTAGCAAGGTGGGATCAGGAAGGCAGGTAGTTCAAAGCCAGCCTGGACAGAAAAATCCACAAGAGTCCATCTCCCGAAGAACCAACAGAAAGCAGGTTCGAGTGGTACAGTACCAGCTGAGCGAGCAGGTCAGGCAAGCGTACACACACACACACACGCACACACACACACACACACACACACACACACACACACAATGAAGCAACAAAGGAAAAGTCAAGTCTGAATGAAAATAAGATCTGAAGAAAATAGTGGCCAAATCTGATTAGGTCAAACTACAACTACTGTCTGCCGAATGTCTTATTGTCAATGGGTTACTGCGTGTTTATCCCACATAGAATCGGGGTGCACTGGGCTAACATAAACAGTGGTGGATAGAGGGTAACTATGCATAAAGCAAATGCTTTCAACCTACCTATATAGTTTTATATATATAAACAGTATATACAATTATATATAACTACAGAAAGCTATGACTATATTTCTACACAAGTAACTATATAGAATTATAGCAGCTATATGTACAATTGTAACTGTAATAAACTATATATAACTATATGAACTATATAGCTAAATGTATAAAAATACTTTCTATACTGTAGTTTGTATGTGTCTTATTACATATTTTATGCTATATGTAAGATAATATATGCTATGTTATATAATTAACCTCATATCTCATAATAATGATGATCTATTGTAATATAATATACTATATATTACATGTTTTATAGTTTAATTAACTTTTTTTTTT